CGAAGTATGTAAAATGGAAGGTAGGGGTAAAAAATATAGTTCGTATTAAGAGTAATAATCATTTATTCTTCCGCAATTGCAGGAAAATGTCCAATAAAACAAATATAAAAAAATGTATGGGAATATGAAAGCCATTTGTCACTGACAGTGTGTAGCAATAACTTTTTGTAGGTATTATTTTCAAAATATCACAAAAAATGCTTCGTTTTCTAAAAGTTACAAACCATTGCTTATGTTTAATACATAAAGTTAACTAATTTGAATTTTTAATATAAAATAACGTACAAGTTTGATGTATTTAAATCTACATTAACTTCAATTTGTATGAAATATAAAAATTTATAATTCTTAGGTATTCATTTATAACGCTTTGGTTCAAAGACAGCATCTTATAGCTAACCATTGCATTTTAAAGTAATCTATAAAAATAATGTAGTTATTTAAATACCATTTATATTTTTGTAAATATTTTAATATTTAAACTACCTACACGAACAGGGATATAATTCTTTTAGATAATCTACGAAAATTTTAAATATAACTTTTTCGCGCACAAAAAATATATTTAATTTTTATTTTAACAGTCTATAAAATATCAAAATAAAAATACAACAAGCTTAATACCAATTCAAGCAATACACATTTGTAAATTGTACACAGAGTTTCACAATATGGGTTGAATTCTATTAATAAAACAACAATATTTTTAAACTTAGATAATACTTAAAAATGTTTGTACTTGAGCAGTACTATTACCACTGAGCATCTTTTTCTTGAATAATTGCAAGTTCATTAGATAAGTCAATTTTTTTAAATAAGTACCTACCTAAATATATCTGCAACATTATAAATTTTCATACAGGGTTATTCACGTTATCCGACACGAAAGATTACGGCTGTTTCTAGATTTTTAGAAATTTTTATTGTAGGGGTACATAGAGGTACATTTTAAAATTATTTTCATAATATACAAAAAGTATCAGTTGTGTTTTTTTTTTAATGGAACACCCTATATATTTTTACATTGTTGGGTTCTATGATCAAAATAACAGAGAATTTCATCAAGGTTTACGTCATCTAATTTTAAAATGTACCACAATAAAAATTTCGTGTCGAATAACGTGAATAGTCCTGTATATGTTTAGAACATATTGTTACTTCTTCCGGTCTTATTTCATCGTTAAAAGCTCACGTATAACGATTGATAGTCGAGCTTGATGGCCGATGGAGTCGTTTATCCGAATTTTCGCCAACTAGTGTAGTTAGCATCTTCAAGGAACGTGGTGAGGGCGTTAAGTGCTTCGGCGTGATTGCACTGACAATGAGACTGAGGCTTTATTCTCAAACTAGTTGGCGAAACGTCGGAGAAACCAAAGGAGAAACAATACTACATCACGGCTATCAGGCTCGACTATCAACCATTATTCAGATAACGCCGGTCGTGAAAAGTTACAACTCTTTTTACATAGCAATATTTAGGTATTTATACATATAGAAGTAGGTATATGGTTTATGATGGAATCTAACTTTCATGAAACAGTAATAGCGCTAGTAATTAATCATTTAAAAGGCACCTTAGTAATAATAATAATAATAATAATAATACGTGCAATGTGATCATCATGTGCTACAAACGTAACTTTAATAGCATAGTAAAAAAACTCACAGCCTACGTATACACGTGTAATGGTTTTAATTTGTGCGTTAAATCAAAATTTGTGAAATTAGATAGAACGGTTGTGATTTGCGTTTTCCCTATACCGTCACCGTCATTATCAACGAATGCAGACATTAATTTCTTTTTTTCCCACAACTTTAATAGTTGTTTCAATTTTTCAATCGGTATGTGACAAATACAAAACCCCTTCAAGATAACTCTCCAATAGGCGCATTCTCCAACCACAGGTGGTGTATAAATGTGTACAATTTATCACTTACGGAAACCTGTTGAAGTTCAGTAAATATTTTAAAATTACAAATAAAATATATAAAATATACCTTAAAAGGAGTGGGATTCAAATTTCGTTTTATATCGGGTCGTAACGTTTTTGTTGAACCAATAATTTTTCTAAAATACTTGCAAATGTTACTAAAAGCCGGTAACATTACATAAAAAAATTATAAAAAAATAGTACTTACATAAAAATATATAACGTTGAAGAAGTACACAGTATCCGTAAAAACAAGTAACACAAATGTTTCTTTAACTTAAATTTCCTAGGAATGAGTAAATATATAAATGACGGTCATTGAATGACAATTCTCAGGGTGTAGTGAGACTTTTACTGTCATTTGACTCTACCACGTTGAACACATTTTACAAAACATATATTAAAATAGGAGTCAACGACATCCATTTGTATGTCTATCATTGTCTAACGTTAGGATGTGCTTATAGCAGAGGAAGTTTTCTTAATTTCCTGGATGAAATTATTTATTTTTGTGTTATTAAATTTGATGCAATATTTATTAAAATATGACAAAAAAAGTAGCTGCTCTTATTTTAAAAGTAATTTGGCATTATCATAATAGATGGCAATAGTTATTCTCAAATAAAATTGAATTGGTCTGAATTTCCCATAATCAATACATTCAAAACGAAGTATGTAAAATGGAAGGTAGGGGTAAAAAATATAGTTCGTATTAAGAGTAATAATCATTTATTCTTCCGCAATTGCAGGAAAATGTCCAATAAAACAAATATAAAAAAATGTATGGGAATATGAAAGCCATTTGTCACTGACAGTGTGTAGCAATAACTTTTTGTAGGTATTATTTTCAAAATATCACAAAAAATGCTTCGTTTTCTAAAAGTTACAAACCATTGCTTATGTTTAATACATAAAGTTAACTAATTTGAATTTTTAATATAAAATAACGTACAAGTTTGATGTATTTAAATCTACATTAACTTCAATTTGTATGAAATATAAAAATTTATAATTCTTAGGTATTCATTTATAACGCTTTGGTTCATAAACTATACTACTATTCCTTTGCATTACACTGCATTTCATAAAAGTAGCACGTTTATAAGTGCTTAGGCATATCGTGTATAACGCTTTTCAAATTTTATCATATTTTATATTGATGAAATGTTTTTAGTGAGTGAAAAAATTCAGGTATGGCTAGAGGTCAGCAAAANGTGTATAAATGTGTACAATTTATCACTTACGGAAACCTGTTGAAGTTCAGTAAATATTTTAAAATTACAAATAAAATATATAAAATATACCTTAAAAGGAGTGGGATTCAAATTTCGTTTTATATCGGGTCGTAACGTTTTCAAGGAACTTCTAACTCTTTCTTTAATTGCTTGTAGATTAGGTAGAGGTGAGGTAGAGATTTTTCCATTTTTCCAATAAAGCCTATGTAACTTGTCAACTTTATTAGGAATGACGTAGGCCCTTTTAGATTCTTCAAAAGGGTGTCTGCATAACACTTTTTTTCCAACTTCCGGTGGTTTTTCATCAGATCCAAGTAACAAATCGATTAGTGCATGTCCACTTTCACTATACAGCCTGTAAGCATCCTTCCTTCCGGGCATAGTGACCTTTCCAACGTCTTGACTCAACTTAATTCTCGGCATCCCGTTTAGTTCGACCAATTTGTAAACACATCCAAGGGCCGGTTGTCTTTGACAAGTTACCAAGTGTGTCCCTATACCAAAACAGTTTATTCTGTGACCTTGTTCGTTCAGGCTTAAAATCGTCTCTTCATTAATATCGTTAGAGGCCATTATCATAAGATCTTTGAACCAAGGGATCCCATAATTTTTTGATATTTGCGAAAAGAAATCGTGCGCAACGTTTGATAAATAGGCCAAGTCTCCACTATCAATGCGAATACCTACTGCCTTGTAGCCCAGATCATTAAGGGCCAACGCCACGGCGCAGAAATTTAATAGACCGCTTCTGGAATACAAAAAAGATTATGTCAATTTCTAGTAAATATATTAAAATATTCAAAAATTCCCGTTCAACAACAATTTTTGTGTACAATCATCAAACGTATGCAGTTTTACTAAGACACCACAAGCATGCACGCTATTTAAATATCACATTTTTCTCAATTTAAATATTTTAGCTTTCATATCTTCCAAATCATGCCCTTAGGGGTGCACGGTTCATTGCTTATAAAAAAATCCATTAAATGCGTCAAGTTACTAAAACTTTTTTCTAAAAATATAAACGTATTTCATATCGGTTCTTTCGTTCTGGTGGTATAAATATTGTGGAACTTATGTAAATTCTAAAAATAAAATTGAAAAATTTGGCCAACAGCTCATATTCTGCGAAGGAAATGTTCTATAATGATTATTAGCTTAGAATTTTTTTTTGTAGGTAAAATCGAATTTTCTTTTAGATTCGAAAAATATTTTCTATCAAATAATTAATGTACTGTTACTAAATTATCGTTATTCTTTATCTGTTGATTAGGTTGCAATTGTAAAAAAGTGATGGCGTTGATAATAATAACAATAATGTCAAAATTATTCGTTCTCGAATAACTGCAAGCGTGACGTTTTTTTTTTTTTTCAAATGATAATGTTATCGGTGTAAACAACGCAAAAAGTAACTAATAAATAAATTTATTGGGCAAGGAAATTGTACGTGTAGGTACAACTTTATCAGTTTGAAGGACATCTTATCGGTATTTTGGTACCTATCTGCACAACGTAGTATTTTTGTAATTTTCAGACCTATGCTCTAGTAAGAATTAGTAAATGTAGCAAATTATATACGAACGTATGTGTAGCATGGCACAAAAACATAATTATTATTAAACACCCTGTATATTTAAGTACAGCTGAACTGCAGCGTGCTAGAGTCTCTCAAGAACGCATTTTGTACTTACTACATGGCATTAAACTTCTTTATAGGCTTATTATAATTTTTTTGATAGCTACAGTAAAAGTTCTCATTTCATCTGCTGGAAGTAGATAAATAAAAGTTTTATAGTATTTGATAATCATTTATCACTCACCAACATCTAAAAGTAAATATACTGCAAATTTGAATGTAGTAAATTATAGTACATACTATATATATAACTAGTGTTAAAAGTAACACTTGTGAATTTTTAATGCAAACAGATTTAATGCATTATTAGATATGTAATCAATAATCAATTAACTTTTTACGCTGTGTTGCAATTAGCTCTCGTTGATTGTAACTCCTATTTATTTAATTTATCTTACTATAAACAAGGCTAAAATTTTGATGATGATGACGATGATGATGATGATAATGATGATCGTAATATTTCGTAAGAAAAAAAGCATAGCAATTACAGCATTCTTTCGCAAACATTAGATATCATTAATAAAAAAAATAATATTCCTTGTTAGAAAAGGAACTTGCTTACGTATCAATATGCTAACAGTAGGTATCAATTTTTTGGCAAGAATATAATGAATTTTCTAAATGGTGGCATGCAACTAATACACCACCTGCACGTGCAGTTACCTGTACTCATTATACAATATGGTGTTGGTAAGTGTAATAGGGGGCAGAGCGATGTCTCGGGCCATGCTTGAATGATACCTCTTAACATCATACGTGTCAACTAATGCCATGAATCCGTCGGGAAATGCAATCGCAAACGATATCAATGCAGCAAATTCCCCATCGCTAGCCTCAGTGCCGACCACTCGAAATAATGGCACCAATTTTGTCCGCCAATCAGTTGATAATTGTACTAGATCCTGTGCTTCCCCGCCGTCCTTTGGTACCAACATTCGTGTATGTAGTTCAGACAAATTCGAAAATGACGTAATGTATGCATGGGCGTGGGTACCTTTCACTGGAATGTTGAATAGCTTTCCAGCCAGTACATTGCTTGTACCATCAAATCCACCTATTAATTTAATGTTAAGTGCTAGAAATCTGCCCATTTATATTCTTATAAAATTAATAGTAAAACCTTTTTAAAAATATCCCCTTAGATGTTCTTTATGTTTACGATAACGTTAACATAAATATCATCAAAGGTTTTTTCGAAACGTTTTATTCAAACCAACTTGTAAAATATAGCAATTTTTGAAAAACAAAAGAATAAATTGACGACTTTTTTAGTGGCAACTTTACTGCATTATTGACAGTAAATGTTGATTTTGGTACCAGGCAGTTACAAATGTTAATCGATACTATCTTGTTGGAAGTGAAAACTTATAATTTTTAATAGTCGTTAGCGTTTACAAGTGAAAATTTCGAAGTACCTGGCACCGCAAGTTGCACTCTAATTGGCTAATAGTTTGACGGTATTTCTCAACGCCAGTCGCGTAAAACGTTAAGCTCGATAACAAATTTTTGAGACTATAAAATCAACCCTTATGCTTACATATATGTACGTATATCTACCGCATAAAATCGATATTAACTACATACCAATAGTGATATTGATTATAGTAGCTACAGTTATCAAACTTTTATATGCTATTTTATTAATATGCGTAATAATTACCAATATATGAGTACTTTGATGCTGATAAACCACCATCTGGACCCTGAGCCCTCCTAAGGCCAAATTCTAACAATCGTATGTTACCAGCAGCCATTCTATACCTTGCAGCATTTGTGGCCATCAAACTAAAAAGTTTGCCTATTAAAAATTGAATATCTAACCTGAACCTTGAAAAGTTTTGCTGTTAAAATTAGTTACTTATTGTTAGTAAAAAGTCTTGCAGGCTGTCAGTAAAATGTTTGCTGCAAGACATAATTTTAAAAAAATGTTCGAAAAGGCAAAGATTAATTATTATCACATACATTAGGTATATTTTGATAGCACACATTGCATAAATTGTGTGAAATAATCTTGAAACTCAAATAGTATACATTTATTATCTTTTATATTCCACTTGTTAGATAATGCGGTGAATTGCTAAATAACGATTCTTATTAGTTACGGTCAATATAATATTTTTTTTATAAAATTGTGACAACTACTATAATATTTGCAAAATATAACTATAAATTACTAACCTTGCATAGTTAACTAGAGTTAATAGGGTAGTTTCTAATAATTGTACTACTATTAAAGGCCCTTCTATTCGTAACAGAGGTACCCTGCGACAATTCAACAAGTTATTTTCACAATATTATCACAAATATAATTAATTTAAATAATACCTTGGAAAAGTAACAGATCCTTCATCAATTGCGTATACTGTTACATCTTTAGCTGATAATGTACTAAGAAATACGAAAAATTCATCTTCAATTGTTTGTGGTAAAGTTTCTTTCAAATACTTGAGATCTGTGTGATGGATATCGTGCAATAAAACGAAATTAAATAATATTTATTGAAAACTCACCACTTGATGAGTAATGAAACTTTTCTAAAAACTTTAAACATTCCTCCAACCCAGCGAAAATGGTAAATTCGCCCTGAAATGGATTTTTACGAAAAAACAAATCGAATACCGCTGTATCTTTGGTTTTACCAGATTTCCAATAAGCGTACGCCATCGTTATCTGATATAAATCTAAAATTATTTTAAAAACATGGGTTTTGAGCAAGGCCTTCGTTTTTATTTCAAAATAATATGATAATAGATAATATATCAAGAACCCTAAATTAAATCCAAATAATTAATGTCAAAAGGTAAACAAATAATAATAAGGCGTGTTTTTAAAAATTAAATTAAAACATTTTATTTAATTTTAATGAGCGGAACTTTTATTTTTTGAAAAAATTTTTAATGTGCCCTAATGAATAAAACGTCTCCGTTTTTGCGACAATTTTTTGGCGCCAAGTACGCGTGTTTTGAGGCATTTATTTTCGCGCTATTAAAGATACAAAACGTGTTATTGCGTCAAAATTGTAAATGAATTATACTGCTTTTTTAAGTTACATAATTGACGTAATGTGAACAATGTTTTCTCGATTGTTAAAACGTAATGTTTGAAAATATTTCTTACCAGTAAGTAACGGCTGTACTATGCCGTTTTGTCCCAATCTCCTCTCAGTTCGCATGGTAGTTTCTGTATCGTCCGTCATTTGTTGAACAATTTTTTGAATTTTACGCCTTCGACTTTATGAATCAGCGCGCATGTTATAACGACGATAGTTTCGGTTGTACTAGTTTCATTACTTGTCGTTTCTAATTAATACCACAAGTGAACTAACACTAACTATATAACTGGTAACGTCAGTCCTTCGTTATCGATCAAATTTGAGGCATTTGGGGTCAACCTGAAGGTTATCGGGTAAAATATAAAAATTTCAAAAGGCAAAGGAAAAATTTGCAGCAAAAAATCTATCTTAGGTGCGCCTAACATTAATTAATGCAGATCCACCGTCCTCTACTGAAAACCTGCTCTGTTATTTATTCACTAAAATCCACCGATAGTAATTAAAATCACATCTTATCTTAAATTGTAGGCGCTTAACTACATTTCGCGTTTATTTACGTTGTTTCCTTTACTTGTTTCATATGTATGTTAAATTTAAGCGATGGTAGGTTAGGTTAGATATGTACTATGCATAGACGTACATCAAACAGACTGAAGGAACACAATTTTGTGATATGTAACGTAATGTAATTATGTGGATATTGCAATAATTACAAAATGCTAACGTTGGGGTAAAAACAAAGAAGTATTGTAAACAAACAAAGCGTCAAGCACGAATAAAAGTTATAATAACATTTACCAGTGGCGTAACTACTAGTCTGTCAAGAGGAGTTAAATGTTTGCTTCATTAATATGCGACACGTAGCAGGGTAATTTATCTTGTGTGAATTGTCATTAATTGTTATCAAACTGTAGTGTCAACGGTTTTCAACATAACATATCTCTTGTGTTGAATGAAACAATAAATTTTAATTGTTTGTTATTTAGAAATATCTCCTCTGGTATTGTTTGTTTATTTATTTTAAATTGCAGAATTCAATCTTGCTTTGTTTCATAATTAGATGCAGATTTAATTTCAATTCATAGCAATATATATAATAATAATGGTTTTAAGGAAAATGAAAACTCCCATTTACATTCAAATGGTCCATTTCTAATGTTCTACGTAAAATAATAAATAAGTAACAAATTAAAGTTCAGACAATGATTTAATTAACTACATCTATTTTTAACAGTCATGCTGTACAGTTTTGGCTAGATAAAGTTTTACATGTACATGTTACATAGAATCTTACATTGTTTGTGGTGATGTTTTTTTTTTGTCATAAATTTAAATTAATAAAAAAGAGATTTACTTACTGGCGTATACAGTAATTCATCACAGTTCTATAAAATTACATATTAACTTACAATTTTTTATATAAATATCCTACATTCTAGTAAGTCTTAATGGGGTTGAGTACATGTTATTCCCTAAATATAATTAATTACTTTATCTTACCATAATGATACGTAAGTTTTTACATGTTTTTTTTTTTTCATTTTATGCGATGAAAAAAGCAAAAATGTGAAATAATCAGCGGAAAAATATTTTGTGAATTACGACATAGTTATTTTGTTAAACAAATGATTATTGTGATTTATTAAGAAATCATTTGTTTACATTTTTCTTGGTCAACCCCTACAAATTTAAGATTGCGAGTTTTTTTTTTAATTTTTTTAATTGCATTAGCATATGTACAAAAAGGAATGCACTACGTTTTAATTTAAAATTGATTTAATTTAGTAAAAATAATTAACTTCTCAATAAAATAGGTAAAATGTAGCAACAAGTTTGACTTTGTCATTTACACAGATGTATAAAAGGTCATCTAAACGCTGTACGAATAATTATTAATTAAATTAGTATTTATTTTCAATTAATGTTTCCATAATTTTAAACTTGTAGGCAGTTGCTCTATGAATTAATAATTACAAAAGATAAGATATTTTCTTAATTTTGCGATTAAATAAATTGTGGTTTGAAAGAACTGCAACTTTACCAATGTTCCATCCGCAATCGCAAAAAATGTTATCAGAATTGTGATAGCATATCTTTGGAACTTATTTTACAAAATAATTTTATTGCCTTTATGGAATCGTGCGATATGTACATACATCAAAATATTAAAGAAAATTTTATTATTCCACTTCTTCTAATTAGAACAATAGCGTAATTGAAACATGGACAAAAACACAATGATGTCAAGTAGCAGCGATAATTTTATGTGGTCTTAATACGGCCAAATTATTTTAATATGTAGATTTTATTTAATGAAACCACCACGAGTAAAAATAATTTTGACTATTTTAAAACTAATACCTAATTGTGGGATCACATAAATTTTGCTGCCTTTTCTCGATCCCTTTCCACTTCCGCAGGATGCATCCTTTTTCTGTGTGAGAAACAATTTCCAGAACTAGCGAATGCTTTAGGACAATACGGACATCGGTAAGGTTTGGCACCGGTATGCTGATTTATGTGGAACTGAAATAGGATATTAATAACCGCAAATAAGGAATAATTAATTAGTAGGCAAGTGTGCATTGAAACACCCGGCATATTAATTGATAATATATACCTTTAAGTCTTGATTACGTTTAAATTTTTTTTCACATAACGGGCATTCGTGCGGTCGAAGTTCACTGTGCGTTACAGCATGAGCACGTAGGGTGCTATTTGTGGAATAAACCCTACCACATACCTCGCACGAATACTTAACGCCATCGTGGTACCGTTGATGCCTTTGTAAATTACATTGCGTTTTAAAACTGGAAAATAACGGATTGTAAATATCGATATAGGTACATATTTTTTTTTTTATAATAACTAACATTCTACCACAACTATCACATCCATATTTTCCCTTTGGTCTATGAGTTTCTAAGTGGACTTTCAGATTTCCCCTAGTAGATACGACTTTTCCACAAATAGGGCAAGAATTCTCATTATTGGCCACACCGTTGTTTTCTACATCTGTGAAAATTGAATGACCAGGTAAGGGTAGATTTTCGTCATTATTTTCTGTCTCTCTCTGATCAGATGGGTGCTTAGTTTGTCTAGAGTGTGTCCAAATATGATTGTGAAGTGCTACCTAAATTTTAAAATAAATCTATTTAGTCGCCAATGGTTTTCTTTGTGAGTTTACCTCGGAATTGAATCTTCTAAAACAAATTTCGCAGCTGTGAGCTCTTCTATTAATTTCGCATCTGTTGTTGTTCTCAATTTCAGCCATAATTTCATTTGTTGGGGGACAAGAACTAACATTTACAGAACCGATCAGTATCCTTTCGTTATTATTTGTGATAATTTCCTTATTGTTTTTTACTATTGAAACATTTGTACTGAAAATGTTATTTGATTGATTATCGTTAACTTTGATTTGTCTTTTTGAAATTAATTCTTCCTTATCAGACTCGATGTCAGCTTCATCGTCGCTGTAGAATTCGTTTTCTGGAACAGTTTGATTGATTTGGGCGTTTTCGGTATTTCTGTTACTTTTTGTCTCGGCTCCAGATGAGTTATAATCATCATCAATGTCTTGGTTTGCAATTCCACCCTCTAGGAACCACATGGGATCTACTTCCACTTCCAACTCCTCTAAACCCTCTTTTTCTGATTCGAATTCCTTTGTACCCTTAAAAATAAAAGAAAACTGGAATATATATTTTCCTTTTGAAACTTTTAATTGTCTGATTGACACATTTCAAGATTTCTTTTATTTTGACTTACTCTAGTTAAATATGATTCTAGGAGACTAACGCTTTTCTGCTTGACTATATTACATGTATCCTGACCATCTTTTGCAGAAAATGTAAATTTAACTTGATTTTTATTAGCCATTAGCACAAAATTGTGGAATGATTCTATTTTACAGTAACACGAAACACATATAATCTTTGGCAGTCTGTCTGTTGTTGAAACCTAAAATATTACCCATTTAAAAGTTTTAAATAAAATTGTTTAGCCAGTTTTCATTAAATTTCTTAATGTTTTATTAGTGCAAAAAAAAAACAAACAGTTTCTCCACTTCTAGTTTAATGAAATTATAAAATTTGACTATTTTTATTTAATATTCCTACATTTTATCCTATTTCAATTTGAAAAATTAATTAAATTGTATAAATTTAACATGGTGCCTCAATATATTCATTGGTTGTCGTTAATTTTAAAGTAAATTTAGCAGATACTATTTTTAAATATTGATTAAACCAATTGGTTATTTGCCACTTATAAATAATGACCATTGATTGTCGTCTGGCATGCAATTCCAATAAATTGAAATTATGAAATATCAAATATTTACGAATTTGTGAACGATTTAGTAAAGTGTGAATTTGAAAATTGTGAATGTTGATATACTTTTTCGAAATTTATTAAATAATTACATATGTACGTATGCACGTATGTACATGTAGAAAATTGTTAGGGTTTAATTACCGTTATATACAAGTATCTCCTAATTTTGGCATGAAGATTTCTCCTTTTTCCTTCCTCTCCCAATATGTGGAATCCCTTGTCAAATGTTTCGGAACATATTCTGCAAGTAATGTCCATTATAGGATCCACCTTTTCAATATCGTTACATTCCATGTTTAAATCGGCACAAAATAAATTCCCGATTAAAACAAAACCTAAGAGATGTAATCATTCTTTGGTAGCGTAAAAACGAATGCGCGTTAATAGTCTTCTTTGCGCAGAAAGGTACAATTTATACATTTTCTACTGCGTGCTTTTTTTTAAATATAATTCCATCCCCTGATCAGTAACAGCCCGAACAACATCCCGGTTTTCTATCCGCCCATTTCATTTTCTCGCACTTTTACTTACGGTAGTAGCAGCAGTCGCTGACAAAAGACGCCCCAAAGATACTTTGAAATTGTCTAGTAATAAATATATTTTTTTACGAAGCAATAGGAGTGTAGACACGTGGATGTGTTCCCGCCATTTTTGTTTAGCATGCGCTACAAACCCCTTATAGTATCGTCAAAATCAATAACATCCCCTTATTAAACGACGCAAGCAAAGCGATTGTTTTTTTTAAACATGGCAGATTAATTGAATTTTATTTTGCACTATATCCGATGCAGTATTTATAACGAACAGAAATCAATCGCTGTTTTGTATCCTTTAGTCATAATTAAACAAATGAGAAATAGACCCGTAGATGCATCCCTCAATTAATGTACAGGTAACATGTAATATACATGGAACATTTCGCAAAAAAAAAAAATATTGCACTAAATTAGAACATAACTACGTAAATACATATATTGCTATGTGAGAAATTGTACCAATACGCTTCTGTGTTTAATTATTGATTTATTGTGTTACAAATTAATGCATTGGAATCGTTCATAGTTGATAATAACGAAATTTTGTTTATAATTAGGTTTTTTGTTATAAATTTATTATTAGGTACTGCTTATATTATAAAATTTAATTTTAATTAAGACGTATTTAAAAATTCAATTAACAATTCTCTTAATAACTTACCTTAAAATAACTTGTATACACTAGTGGCAAGTTGAGAACCGAACAGAGGGGAGATTCGAATAAATGCTTTTGAGGGACATTAAGATTTTGGGAGTTTCATTAGTATATGACAGTTTTCAGAAAAGTAGGTGACATTTTCAGATAGACGTAGTTGAATAAATATATGTATAAAAAGAAAAACTGCCGACAAAGAAACGTGTAACTTTTATGTTCGGTAAACATTTCGCCTTAGCTGTATGTTTAAATAAAAAATGAGTAGTTTTCTTAAAACTTTTTATTTTTAAAACAAAGATGCGTTTAAAATTAAACGAAAAAATTGAGTCTAAAGAATGCACCGTTCATTTCACATAAATTATTGCTCATTTCACAACATTCGGAAGTTGTTAAAATTTATTGTTAACATATGAAATGAACCGTACATAATCAAAAACTATTAATGGTATTGTTTCATAACAGTTCGTAAATATCTTACATCTTTTAACTATTCGCGCATAAATGTATAATTTTTACCTAAATCTATTCACAGATTCAAAGATCACTTAAGAAAATATATTATATATATATATAATAATTATACAATTGTTACTGCATTTGCTCATTTTACAATTTTGCCATTCAATAAGCAGTAACAATATTGTCTTATACAAAATAAATCTTGCAGCTTAGGTACACACGTTACAGTCATTCGAATAAAAATGAACTTTCTCATTTAAACAAATTCAAGACACTGCGGTAAGGCACTTCATGTTATCACTATTAGTAGATTAAGGAACTAGAAGAAATGCAAACACAATTCGTAAAGTAGTACGTCCAATTTAGGCAATTTGCCTAATAACGAAATTGTGTAAGTATTTCTGTTGTTTTTCATATAAATTTCTTTTGAAAATAAAATAAAATATATGTACAGGGTTTAAAATATATTTGAAAACAAAAACTTAACAATTCTTTTACTACCTGGTAGCAACGTATCGGTACTACATATTTTTTTTTTCGTCCCTAGCTATCAGATTCTGAGCTTACATAAAATTAATATAATTTTAGAAACTCTGAGTGCTCTGTATAGGTAGAGGTATTTTAAAGTGTCCTGGGCCACGAAATGCACGAGGGGTGGACCTTATTGTATTCATATTGTGCACTTCAAAAACACTGACGGCGAGTCATGGTTAGTTGTATGGTTAAGAGTTGACGTTAACCATATAAAACGATGACAGCTAGACTGTCAATAACTTTAGTAAGAAGGCAAACTATGCAACCCAAAGTCTTGGCCCACGAAATTCTAAACTACCTCTACCTGGTCGTTTTATAATTATTTATTTTTGGCTGATTTCTTCTAAAAAAGAAACTTAAGGTAGGTAGTTTAGCTTATATAAATAAAAGTAAATTTACAAATAGCAGCAGTTAACATTACTCTAGAATACTTTGGATTGAAAGGTAACTATGCCCTTCTTATAGAACCATTTTGTTTTTTTTTTTTTCTAAAATATACAATTTTCATCTAAATCACAGAATCTCGACGGAAATATTTGCACAATATCAGGATAATTCTGGCAACATAGCACCTCTACCTGAATAATTCGTTTCTTAATAATTGAATCGTTTTTAACACCAGCATTTGCCTTTTGTTTTGTTATCATATTTCGTCTGTATGACCGATATTTTTGAGTAAACTAGCGTCATAGTTAGGTTTGAAATAATACTTATACATCATCATGCGATCATATCCATATCTAACGTGTCGCCTTCCATTGGATCTATATGACTTGTAGGTGAAGGTAATCGTGGTTCTGCCAGCATAGTGTCAGCAACGGACGTGGCATGTGCAGGGGATGATAACAACGGATCCCCTGTCAGTTGTTGTGATGATAACATCGGATCGCCATTAACACTACTTACAACTGGTTCGTCGTCATCCATTAAATCTTCCATTGCCGATATACTCAGAGTTGCATCGTTGACTACGTCAGGCATCTAATAGATCAAAAAATGAAAAGTTAGAAGCACAAACGTGAATTATCGTCGCGAAAAAGTTTTATAGGCGACTCTGGCAATTCATTTTTCAGTATTTTTTTTTTTATAAGGGTTGTTTATTTCGGTCATATGTATGTACCTTTGGTACTGGGTCGTGTAGTAATAACGATGACATAATGTTACTGTTCGTTGGCTGACTAGGGCTGGTGATGTAAGAAGAATTGTTATTGTACGACGTAATTGGTGGTTGTGCTCCTTGCCAGTTAAATTCCGTAACGGGAAGACCATGAGATTTTGCCTGTCTTTCCAGCTCCTAAAGAACAATAATTTATGACGATATAGTTCATCATTTTCTATATTTGTTATGAAGACTATTTTATGTATTTTGTATCTACTCATAAATATGTATATACAGTGTAAAAGAGGCACATTTGGTGTTAGGGTATGTCTATCTGGACCCTTCCATCCCGTTGGTGAGATTTTGCCTGATAATGAAAGCGTAATTAACTGCTTTTTTTTAAATTTGAACCCCTTGATGAGGCTTTGGAGGACTCTTAATCCTCCTTTTGATCCCATGTACTTAATGGACCCCCCCATGGTTCATTTTTATGATTTTTACAATGATTATGCCTTGTGAAACTTTTGAACCAAACAATTACGAAATTGAGATTCTTGTACCTCAGTGTGTGAAACAAGATGTTGATTTTCAACAAAAACACTTAATCTTTGAATTAAATTAATTCATTGGAATGTTACAACTGTAAGCTGATTTTTATGTGCTGAACCTTCGCTTTGGCTGATTTTATTAGTATATATATGTTAATTTTGAATTTAATTCCAAAATTTCTATATACAATAATAATTAACTTACACAATATTTATAACAGTATATTAAAAAAAAAACGTTACGTCATCTCGATTAGTTATTCAATAACTACGTATAATAAAAAATGGGAGGTTTTTTGTACGATCTTTTTGATATAAGTGAATGTATGTGTTTTGACATTTTTTTTTTCCGAGAAAAGTACAAAGATCTTTGACAGAGCATAGAACAATACTCGGAATTGCTTAACGATAGGTTTGGCACTGAAATTATAATTTTTATTACCAACCGGCAAAAAACAATTCATTAGCTTAAAAATAGACTTTGTATATAATATATATTTCTTTGGCGAAATCGTTAAAGATCAATAATAAAAATACGCAGTGTATTAGTGAATGGATAACTTTATGTGTATTTAATTCCTTGCATATTTTATTTTATTGTTAATTACAACTACGGATGATGGTTATGGTGTCGAATGATATACACACTTATCTTTCAACTGGTATCGACATCAGTGTTAAAATTGGATGTAGCTTCTATAAATAACAACAAAAATGTTACTTTATACATTTACCTGTATTCTTAGCTGAAGTCTTCTGTTAACATGTTCGATTTGTTTTTGTTTTGCTTCGAATTGTTTCAATCTTTGCACCTCATTCTTTAAACATTTAATATATTCTACCGACGATTTTAAAATGGTTCCCTTGTTTGGACGAACATCTCGTACAATTTCAAAGTAAGGATCGTTATTCTTTGGTAGCAGAGTCCCTAATTCTTTTATTCGATCGTTTATATTGAATCTTCTTCGTCGTTCAACTGAAACAATTGCATTTCTTATTAAAAGTAAAATTTATTGCGTTTCGTCATTGTTATATTTTTATACAACGATAGACAGAATCACTTACTCATATTATGATTATCCTTTTTTTGCCTGTCTTTTGCCAAAGCATGAAGTTCAGCATCGCTGAGAAAATGAGGTTCATTTTTGATGTTTACGTCTGATGCCGACAAGGAATTATTATCAGTTTTAAAACTATCGGATGCAAGGGAGCTGGATTCAAATGATAGTAAATCGTCTATTAAATCCTCAGCCTGTAATAAAAGATGCACTCTAAAATTTTCTTTTGTAATCATTTAGAGCGGTAGAGAAATCTCGCGATAATTCAACATTTTCTTTTTACTGTGTGTATAAAAGTTTGTAGGTGCCAGATTTTTTTTTTCTTGACAAAAGTAAAANCGATGTTTCAGTCATTGAAAAACTAAAAACAATACTAAGGTATCAGAAATTCTGATAAAACAGTCATATTCCTGTTGAATAATTACTGGACAATTTCTAATTCAATAAATTGTACCTCGAAATGATTTAATTACGTACTGTTATGTTCCTTGACTTAAATAAAATTATTCGAGAATTATATAATAAGAAGAATAAAATTGGAACTTTAATAATAATAAAATACCTGCAGTATAAATAGTTTTTATGATGGGTTCGCTGTAAAATATTCGAAATTCTGTAAGAAGAAACTTTACAATAGGCAAACAAATGTGACAAACTGATTAAGGGTGTTGTAAATCTTTTGTTTTAATGCAACACAATGTTGAAATTGACACTTTACGTAAGTTGTATACCCAGTATATTTTGGAATATTAAATTATAGCCTGTTCTTAAAAACATACACTTTCTTCAAATGAATGTACGAATCGCTATCGGCGCAATGATTTTCTTTCCCGAATGCTACCGTAAGGCCAGACATGGATTTATTCTAGATATTATCATCAGTAGGCATTAGGTAACATTAAATCCTTCAACAAACTTACTTAGAATAAATCTTTTTACTTAGCTACCTACTGCATTACGATCACGGAATGATTGATTCTAGGAAGAGATTTTCTTTGACGGCGCTTAAAAATTAAGCTTGCTGTAAATTAATTATAAATCCTGTAAAATCTATATACTTCGGTTAAGTGAATCAAGGATAGCTACCGATTTATTTTTATTTTGAAAAATATAATCGAAAATAATAATTGACAAGTTAAAACTTTTCTCATCATAGGGACCCCCAATCCTGAGCTAATCATCGCATTTCCCTAATACTAAAAACTATTTTCTATTTTATGTATTTTGTATCTACTCATAAATATGTATATACAGTGTAAAAGAGGCACATTTGGTGTTAGGGTATGTCTATCTGGACCCTTCCATCCCGTTGGTGAGATTTTGCCTGATAATGAAAGCGTAATTAACTGCTTTTTTTTAAATTTGAACCCCTTGATGAGGCTTTGGAGGACTCTTAATCCTCCTTTTGATCCCATGTACTTAATGGACCCCCCCATGGTTCATTTTTATGATTTTTACAATGATTATGCTTTGTGAAACTTTTGAACCAAACAATTACGAAATTGAGATTCTTGTACCTCAGTGTGTGAAACAAGATGTTGATTTTCAACAAAAACACTTAATTTTTGAATTAAATTAATTCATTGGAATGTTACAACTGTAAGCTGATTTTTATGTGCTGAACCTTCGCTTTGGCTGATTTTATTAGTATATATATGTTAATTTTGAATTTAATTCCAAAATTTCTATATACAATAATAATTAACTTACACAATATTTATACAGTATATTAAAAAAAAAACGTTACGTCATCTCGATTAGTTATTCAATAACTACGTATAATAAAAAATGGGAGGTTTTTTGTACGATCTTTTTGATATAAGTGAATGTATGTGTTTTGACATTTTTTTTTTCCGAGAAAAGTACAAAGATCTTTGACAGAGCATAGAACAATACTCGGAATTGCTTAACGATAGGTTTGGCACTGAAATTATAATTTTTATTACCAACCGGCAAAAAACAATTCATTAGCTTAAAAATAGACTTTGTATATAATATATATTTCTTTGGCGAAATCGTTAAAGATCAATAATAAAAATACGCAGTGTATTAGTGAATGGATAACTTTATGTGTATTTAATTCCTTGCATATTTTATTTTATTGTTAATTACAACTACGGATGATGGTTATGGTGTCGAATGATATACACACTTATCTTTCAACTGGTATCGACATCAGTGTTAAAATTGGATGTAGCTTCTATAAATAACAACAAAAATGTTACTTTATACATTTACCTGTATTCTTAGCTGAAGTCTTCTGTTAACATGTTCGATTTGTTTTTGTTTTGCTTCGAATTGTTTCAATCTTTGCACCTCATTCTTTAAACATTTAATATATTCTACCGACGATTTTAAAATGGTTCCCTTGTTTGGACGAACATCTCGGACAATTTCAAAGTAAGGATCGTTATTCTTTGGTAGCAGAGTCCCTAATTCTTTTATTCGATCGTTTATATTGAATCTTCTTCGTCGTTCAACTGAAACAATTGCATTTCTTATTAAAAGTAAAATTTATTGCGTTTCGTCATTGTTATATTTTTATACAACGATAGACAGAATCACTTACTCATATTATGATTATCCTTTTTTTGCCTGTCTTTTGCCAAAGCATGAAGTTCAGCATCGCTGAGAAAATGAGGTTCATTTTTGATGTTTACGTCTGATGCCGACAAGGAATTATTATCAGTTTTAAAACTATCGGATGCAAGGGAGCTGGATTCAAATGATAGTAAATCGTCTATTAAATCCTCAGCCTGTAATAAAAGATGCACTCTAAAATTTTCTTTTGTAATCATTTAGAGCGGTAGAGAAATCTCGCGATAATTCAACATTTTCTTTTTACTGTGTGTATAAAAGTTTGTAGGTGCCAGATTTTTTTTTTCTTGACAAAAGTAAAAACAGTTTTCAAGTACGTATTACCCATTAGCACCTGTTTGTTATGTTGTATTAAAAAGTGTGTTTGATAACAGGCGCCAGATGATTTGTTTGTAAAAGCATGTTAACAGCATGAATAACCATATTTCTTTCGTAAAAGAAACTAAAGATAATGAAAAAGTTAAGAAATAGGGTAAAATAATTACACACGTGTGTGATCGTTTTTTTTTATAACTAATTTACACATTGATTAAAATGATCCTTTTTAAAAACAGGACTACATTAGAAGCCTTATTATCCACCGTTGCAAATAAAAAGGTTTTAACTCTATTAATTAGTATAAAAATTTTCATTTCACCGTAAATGAAAACTAGATCAGAATACTTTAAATAAAATTATTCGAAAATTATATAATAAGAAGAATAAAATTGGAACTTTAATAATAATAAAATACCTGCAGTATAAATAGTTTTTATGATGGGTTCGCTGTAAAATATTCGAAATTCTGTAAGAAGAAACTTTACAATAGGCAAACAAATGTGACAAACTGATTAAGGGTGTTGTAAATCTTTTGTTTTAATGCAACACAATGTTGAAATTGACACTTTACGTAAGTTGTATACCCAGTATATTTTGGAATATTAAATTATAGCCTGTTCTTAAAAACATACACTTTCTTCAAATGAATGTACGAATCGCTATCGGCGCAATGATTTTCTTTCCCGAATGCTACCGTAAGGCCAGACATGGATTTATTCTAGATATTATCATCAGTAGGCATTAGGTAACATTAAATCCTTCAACAAACTTACTTAGAATAAATCTTTTTACTTAGCTACCTACTGCATTACGATCACGGAATGATTGATTCTAGGAAGAGATTTTCTTTGACGGCGCTTAAAAATTAAGCTTGCTGTAAATTAATTATAAATCCTGTAAAATCTATATACTTCGGTTAAGTGAATCAAGGATAGCTACCGATTTATTTTTATTTTGAAAAATATAATCGAAAATAATAATTGACAAGTTAAAATTTTTCTCATCATAGGACCCCCAATCCTGAGCTAATCATCGCATTTCCCTAATACTAAAAACTATTTTTTTTATTTAATAAAAAGGTGGGATAAAAACAATAATATGTAAAATTAGAGCCAGCAATGGGGGATGAAAGGTTTTGATTGCTTAGAGAATACAATATTTTTTTCGTAAAACTTTTTTCATACTGTAACTCCCGAAACTTCTTAAGGTGTTATCTTAAATTTCCAATTGGCTCTCCTAAAATATTGCCTTAGCAGTTAGTCAATTTCGAATCCACAACCTTCGTTTTTCTGGGTCAGCGCGCTGACCGTTTAACGATTTTGAAAAAGAACATGCAAAAATGCGAAAGCCAAATTTTTCTTCTTACGAAATCTGCTAATACCGAAAGAAACCGATTAGAATTATATTATCTACGTAATTTCATTTTATTTATGACTGTATTATTTTGAGTACTTAAGCAAATGATGAACATCACCGTTATTCAATATTTGGGAAATAGGTATAGAAAAAAAAAACAATTTTACTTAGAGTCAAAGGCAAATACAACTAAACATGTTTCTGAAATTATGTAAAGTTTGTTCATAATTTAGTTTTTCCCAATATTATCCAGTTGCGTAATTTTCATAGACCAAAAAACGAGTTTTCACAATATGTTATTGTTTAAAAGAAAAGTAGGTTGTCTTCTATCAGTGAAATCTAATTTCCACTTTTGACACTGATTTAAAACGGTTTATAATAAGTGTACACATTTCAAGCTGTTCATATATACACAGGTAAAATATTATGTAAAAATGCACACGTTTGTAAAGCCTGCTATCTCACGTGTGTATTGGGCTACAGAATTTTTATCCATTTTACACACTATGACGCAGTTTTAATCTCAAAATCTAGAATTATCATGGTAACCTCGTTATTTTACGTAAATTAAGATAAGAATTATTTTATTTTCCTAACGCCATGTTATGTACATACAAAAGTACGTAGAATGTGCATAATGTATGGAACACCACTGAAAAAAGACAAATCTGGCGTTATGGATTATAGTGGTTTATTGTATAGTGATTATAGTTTATTGATTATATTATCACTGCGAATGATTTTTCTGAAGAAAATTAATAGAAATTCGATTTAAAGAGGTGATTTATAACGTGTAAAACCAGCACTTAAATGTTGAGTTGAAAAAATTCGAGTTAGAAAGATTTCGAGTTATAGACGTTCCAATGTAATGTGTTAAGGATAATAATTGATAATTTTCTGAATTGAGTACAATAATTTATTGTGCGATTCACGTCGTTTTTAACCATTTAATTAAAATTTTTACCTCAAAGTGGTTTCTTCTGTAATCCATCTTAATTAAATATGATTATGATAACTGATAATTATAATAACTTACGATAAACGATGTTTCAGTCATTGAAAAACTAAAAACAATACTAAGGTATCAGAAATTCTGATAAAACAGTCATATTCCGGTGGAATAATAACTGGACAATTTCTAATTCAATAAATTGTACCTTTTTTAAATTTGTAAATTGTTTCAAATGTTTAAAATGATTAATCATTGCTCTAACGCCAGTTTCTACAAAGCCTACCACTTGAATTAGTCAGATAGTTCATTTTATAGTTGTTATCTTATTGTTTACGTACAATAACCGACATATCAAAATCAGCAAATTGTACTGCCATTCAATTATTTTTATGTTGCAAACATTCTTTTTGAAGATAGATAGGATAATTGCTGGTGCCTCTTATCAGTCTTCGTCAGGATATACCAATTAATTCGAAAGCAATTGGATTTAAATCCCTAAACACATTAAATTACGTACAAATTACGAAGCACTCTCTTTAAGCAATTACTTTTACAAGTTCCCACTACTCGTCCAGGAAAAATTTTAACTTATTAGTAGTTCCAAGCCTCCAAAAGGACTGCTCAATCCTGATTCCTGTATTGTCCTAAAATCTGTTTTCATCACAAAAGGTGTGCCATGATTTCGTATACACCATCATTGTGATTCAGTTTATTCTTAATTGTTTATATGTGCCAGGATGTTATAAACATTAATTAACTTACAACAGCGTATCTACATGTGTATATGTATTTAGTATCTGTCTGGTATTTTTATTTCATATCTATAACACGGACAGACTGTTTCATAGAAGAGGGTTAGCATTTGCAAAATGTTTGATAGTGTTTAGAAAATAATTTATTATTAATAAAATTTGACACTGAACTGCCATTCATGAAAATTATAGTAACAATAAAACATACGTTTCTAACATTCGACAATAAATCAACTACGTATTATGTTATCTTATATTTCAAAAGTGATACGTAATACTAATCTCTCTATATCTTTTAGTAATTACTATCGGATCAGGCCAAAATTAAGTATCTCTCTGGTAATTACTACACTTTAATGGTATATTTTAAAAGAAAAATTGACCAAGTGTCTTATTTTTCTTGAAAAATAAACATAATATAATATATGAAGGGTGTTGTTATTAAAACTCATTAATTTTAACAACAGTCAATCTCCAAATTGCTTATTTTAGACTTGGTATACGAGGGTGGATTGATAAGTTTCCGGCCTGACCAAGAAAAACAAGGTTTTTAAAAATTTTTTTTTTTTATTTCTCAACATAATCTCCTCCAAGGCTGATACATTTCTCATAGCGGTGTTCCAGTCTATTAATGCCATCTCTATAGACTGATTCGTCAAGCTCCTCAAAATAACCATTTACAGCTTCGATTACTTCTTCATTGTCCGCAAATCTCTTACCGCCAAGCCATTTTTTGAGATTAGGGAACAGAAAATAGTCACTCGGGGCTAGGTCTGGAGAGTAAGGAGGGTGCGGCATCAATTCAAACTTTAGATCGTTGATTTTAGCCGTCGCAACGATTGACGTGTGCGCTGGTGCGTTATCGTGATGAAACAAGATTTTTTTCTTCGCCAGATGAGGTCGTTTAATTTTCACCTCGTGGCTCAAACGTTGCAATAAGTCTGCGTAGTATTGACCAGTGATAGTATTACCCTTTGCAAGGTAATCAATGTATATAATACCTCTTGCATCCCAAAAAACAGTAGCCATAACCTTGTTCGCCGAAAAAATTGTTTTTGCCTTCTTTGGAGTTGGTTCCCCTGGTCCAATCCACTGTTTAGACTGTTCTTTGGTTTCAGCAGTGTAGTGGTGGACCCACGTTTCGTCAACGGTTACGAATCGACGCAAAAATTCGCTTGGATTACGCTTATACAATGACAAATTTGCGGTAGAAATGTTTTTTCGAATCAATTTTTGGTCGACTGTTAGCAAACGCGGCACCCATCTTGCACAGAGCTTTTCCATATGCAAATGTTGGTGCAAAATATGTTGCACACGTTCATATGACATCTTACAGGTCTCAGCTATCTCACGCACTTTCAATCTGCGGTCTCCCAGCACTATTTGATGAATTTTTTCGATCATATCTGGAGTTGTGACCTCAACGGGGCGTCCTGAGCGAGGCCCATCAGAGGTGCTCACACGACCCTTTTTAAACTCGGAAACCCACTGCTTAACGGTTGAATATGACGGGGAGGATGTCCCCAGTGTTGAGTCCATCTCTTTTTTAATTTCCTTCGGCGTTAACCCCTTCAAATAAAAGTATTTGATGACAGCACGATTTTCCTGCTTTTCCATTTTTACGAAAACCACAGAGGCGTCTTGTTCAGCGTGCTGTCAAACCTACACTAGCAAGGAGATCGGGCTGAAACTATAGCTACAAGCTATCCAAGGATGGTACTATAGAATGTCACCTCAAGGTAGGCCTAGTGGCGTCATCTCTTGGTTAGGCCGGAAACTT